AAAAAAAAGGACAGCAACTTGTCTGTTCCCCTTCCCCCAATTCCCCGGCGCTGTTCCCATCCCCCAATTCCCCAATAAAAATCTTTAAAAAAAAAAAAGAACAAAGGGGGCAGAAGAAGCTTTAGGAGGTGCTGGATACATTTACAGCCTTGAGGGTGGTGATGGTTTCACAAGTGTACACTTAACCCCCAAACTCATGTGTCAAGTTGTAGACATTACATCCGTACAGCTTTTTACATGTCAATCATACCCTAATAAAGTGGTTTTAAAAAATGGCTGTCCTGGAAGGTAGTGAACTTCAGGAGGAGCAGACCTAAAACAGGAATGTACTTGGTGCACCGGAGGAAAGAGGAAGGTCTTGTGTCTGACCTGAGTAAGGAAGGTCAAGAGATGAGGAGATTAACTAGGCAGGGCCAGATCACTCTGGGCCCTGTGGGCAGCAGTAGGGAGTTCAGAATTTTTTCTCAATGCATCGGGAAGCCTCACATTCTCTGATTCTTGTTTGTCTCTGTTTTTTGCGAGCTGCTTTTCCTCTATCTGCCCTTCACGTGTTCTCCCAGCCTCTCTCCCAGGCCTCTTGTTCTCATTCTACCTGGGGGAATCTTGATTGCTGTCAGTTGAGAGTCAAGAACTCTGTCCTGGACCTTGACTCAGGTGTCAAACACAGGCTGCACCCTCCACCTGTCCACCCCACAGGCTCCTCAAATTTGTACAAAGCCCTCCACTCCCTGTCTCTCTCGCTCAGTTAATAACACTACCAGCCACCCAGACATCCAACCTGAGTGTCATTGTGACCCTTCCCTCTCTCTCACCTCCCACAGCCAATGAATGGCCACTTTAAAAAAATCTTTCTCGAATCTCTGTTTTCCTAACTATCCTGCCTAATCCAGGTGGCAGTCCTACATGAGATGACCACAGCTCCTCTGTGGATAGCTGTAACAGCCCCCTCATCTGTCCCCTCCCCAGTCTTGTTCCCCTCAAATGCGCTGTCCTCACTGACCACAGGTGTACTTGCTAAAATGTGAAGTCTGCTCAGGATGAACCTGGGAAAGTCCAAACTCATGCTCCTGGGGTGGTGGGATGCACTTTTTCTCCTTTCTTTCCACACCCCACCTGGTATTCTGCTTTGGCTGAAGTCTAAACTAGCATAACAAAAGGAAGCCTAGGGAATGGGATTCAAGGTAGAGAAAGAGATGATAGTCAGCATAACAATCAATATAAGAGATATGCAAAGAGGGTCATTATCTCCATTTTGATGAAAAGTCTGGAACTTGTAGATGCCTCCCCTACATTGCTTACAGCTCCGAGCCATGTCTCTCTCCTAATGGATGCAGGTAGAGAGTAAAAAGAGTGGGCTCTTGGGGACAGAGTATGAAAAAACTAAGGGGATTGAGGGGCCATGGGAAGAGAGAAGAGAAAAGAAAGTGAAGGCGAGAGGTTTTGTTTCCCAGCGGCTATGGGAGGATTTCGCAGTGGTCAGAGGACACATTCTCACCTGTTCAGGATGGGGGTAGGGGAAGGAATTCAGGAGAACCGCTTCAGAGTAGTCTGAGCACTCTGGATCCTGTCAGGTGGGAATGTTCACCTTGAACCTGAATAGCAGGATCATTTCAGGTGCCCCTATGACTGATGGACGTGTACTTGATGATCAACACTGGGATTGCTTGATGATGTACCCCCCTCTCACTATTAAGGGGTCACCATGCTGTAAAAGACCCTTGACCCCCACACCTCTCCTGCTTCATCTCTCACCTTCCCCGGACTGACTGTTGCCCTCCTGTACACGTCTCCTTGCTCCTGTTTCTCCAATATGCCATGCTGTTCTTACTACCTGCAACGCTTTAAACCCATAAAATAACACTCCCTGCCCATCTCCTGGGTACTGTCTATCCTTACGACAGACATGAGATGTTTGAGTATTATCTAATAAGGAGAAAAGCCATGCTTGGGCATCACACAGTCCTGGATTAAAACTCCAGCTTTACTGTTTACTCACTGTGAGACCTTAGCAGCCATTTCGTCTGTCATAGTATCAGTAAGATCGAGTGATGATCACTTCCTTGTGGGGTTTTCTGAGGCTCAAATGGACTTAAAGCACATAGTAGGTACTCAATAAATGTTAGCTCTTTTTCTTGCCCTTGTGATACTAAGAAAGTGTTGCTCAAATTCTAGAGTCATTAACAGCGACTGTTGGTGGGATGCTACCAACAGCATCTGCTAGCACTGCCTTTCCTTTCCTCCCTGACCTCTCTTTACTGGTTAACTTGAGTACAATTCTCATTTATTATGTATCAGAAGTGATGCATTTTCCATGCAGAGTAATCAGCAGGAGCTATCATTTACTGGAAGTCTACTCTGTGCCTGGCCTTCACTAGGTGCTTTCCAGGGAGTCTCTCGGTTAATGTTCACAATGATTCTTGGGGGCAGTATTAATCACTATCCTAATATGTGTCCAAATCGAGGTTCTGAGATGTTAAATAATTTTCCTGAAGTCACACAGCCAGTGATTGATAGTCAAGATAGAAATCCAGTCTTCCAGATTCCAAAGCCCATGTCTTTTCAAATAGACCACATTGCCTCTCATGAAAAATACAATATAATAATAATAACAATAACAACAACAACAATAATAATAGAAATAGTTAACACTACATGATTACCTATTTGCTGGGAAGAATTATAACTCTGTACATGTATTAATTTAATTAAACTCTGCAAACATCCTATGAAAGTAGTTATATTACTATTATTATCCTATTTTACCAAAGTATAGAGAGGTTAAATAACTTGCCCAAATCATCAAACTGAATCTGTTTGTATATATAATATGTTGTGGAAACACTGCAGTTT